CGAGCGGTGCCGCGATTCAAATCGAGCGGTTGGCGACCGCCCGCGAGGCCTGTCGGGAACGCCCAGCTCGGGAGCGGCCCTCGCAGCCTTCTGGGAGTGCGCGGGGCATGCTGGGAGTTGTAGTCCTCCCTCTGCATGGCGCGGCTTCTGCGCCCCGTGCACCTAGCGACCTCGGTCCCGCGTTTGCCGCTTGCAGGCTTAGTAGAGTGGTGCGAGCGGAGCTAAGGTGGGCTGCAGTCCTCGTAATGGATTTAAGGAGGCGCCTGTCGAGTACATCTGTATTAAGCCCTTTCAGCCTGCAAACTCTGGTTGTCCTTGTGGGCGCCCCACTCCTGGGGCCCCCTAGTGCCAGCTCCCCCTGCCCCCGAGCCAGCTGAGTTGGAATGTGTGCTGAGGCCGCGCATCCTCCAGGGAAAAAATGTCCCAGGTGAAATCCAGGGCTCCGCCTCCGCCCTGGCTCAGGGAGCTATGAACTCGGCTCTTATCGCGTCTTTTCCCTGCGGCTTCTTGGAAGTCTCGAAATGGACCCTTGGAACTGGGTTCCTGCCTTCCCATCAGAATCCCTCCGGAACCAGACATCCCTCAAGGTCCATAGCGGTCCATAGCGGTCCATGCTGCAGCACAGATACTTATTCAGTCAGGCCCCTATGGACGGGCCCTCAGGTTGCTAATTCTGTACCATTATATATAACTAGAGGCTCAGTGCAGGAAATTGTGCAGGGTAGGGTCCCTAGGCCTGGCTGGTCATCAGGGCTGATTGGGGCCTTCCTTCCCCAGCCGCCCCCTGGTGGTCAGCGCACGTCATAGTGAGCAAACTCCCAAGGGGACAATTTGCATATTAGCCTTTTTAAAAAATATATATATATTTCTTAATTGATTTTTTACAGAGAGGAAGGGAGAGAGGTAGAGAGTTAGAAACATTGATCAGCTGCCTCCTGCACACCACCCACTGGGGACATGCCCGCAACCAAGGTACATGCCCTTGACAGGAATCGCACCTGGGACCTTTCAGTCCGCAGACAGGCGCTCTATCCACTGAGCCAAACCGGTCAGGGCGCATATTAGCCTTTTATTATATGATACTGCAGTAAACACTTTGTATGAATATCCTTGTGTTCTGGTACTTTTGCTTCCAGGGGCTAGATTTCTAAAAGTGGATTTTTAGGTCAAATGTGAATTTAAAATTTTAATGCACTCTAACCATTGAGCACCACCGGCCAGAGCTAATCAATCATTCTTGAACTGCAAGCTATTCAGAGTGGGGCAGAGAGGTGGTGGGGTGTAGCGGGGGGACAGCTGGCTCCCAGGGGACTGCACACTCCCCTGGGGTGGGCGGGTGGGGGGCAGCAGAAGCTTGTCCACCTGTGGGCGTCACTGTCCTGTCAGGGTCAAGGGGTTATCCCGAAGCTAACATTCCAGGGTTTTCAGGGCAGACCCAAATGTCCGGTGGCGCCCAGGACAGAGTGGACAAAGAGTGAAGCAAAAGGCAGACGCGGTGTGGGAATCGCTTGCAAAAGGGGCAGCAAACTTTTCCGAAAAGAGCCAGATGGTAATTAGTTTAGCTCTGGGGGCCATCCAGTCTCTGACCCCACCCAACTCTGCCCCTGTAGCTCAAACACCACCACAGACAATTCGTAGATGAATGAACGTAGCTGGGTTCCAATAAAACTTTATTTATGGATACGGACATTTGAATTTTATATCACTTTTACATGTGACGAAAGGCTATTCTTTTCGAAAGGTGTGTGTCCGGGCATGAAAGGTCGAGCTGTCGTTTCTGTCTCCTTTCTCAGCAGGCGGTGGGCTCAGACTTGGCGAGGCGCTCTGGACATCACGCAGCGTTGCCCTGGGCTGGCCTGTCCCTTCAGCGGCTTGATTCCGACCAGGGCGCGGCCATGGAGACGGGGATCCTGCTCAGAGCAGGGGGAAGACTGGGCTCTTGCCAGGGCAGGTGGACATATGGAGGCTACAGGGCCCCCAGGAAGCAGAGGCTGGTTGGGGGGAGCGGTCCGGCCCTTTGCAGAAGACTCGCAGGTCGGGTGCATGCCGGCTGGGGCTTGGGGCCCATCAGGACTCTTGGAAGATTGTTTTCAAAATAATCTGCAGCAGGAAGGAAAGACAGGGCCCTCGCATGGGAGAGGCTCGGGAGGCGCTCTCGGGAGGAACGTGATGAGGGAGAGGGCTGCTGGGGGAGCAGAGACGCGACCTAGGCGTCGCCGTTCCCCACCTCCCGTCTCCCCACCTCCCGTCGGAAATGTGCTAATGAGGCTCCCGCCTCAAGCCGACTTGCCCCCGGGTGTGACCCACGGGCCAATAAAGGCTTTCTGTCTGTAAACCATTGAAAAGAAATCCAAAAACATTATTTCGGGATATGGAAAAATTATACAATTTAACAGGGGGATCACTTTGTAAAGTATATTCTTGTCTAACCACTATGCTGTACACCTGAAACTAATATAAAGTAATATTGAATGCAACTCTAACTGGAAAATAAAATTTAAGCCCAGCTGGTGTGGCTCAGTGGTTGAGCGTTGACCTATGAACTAGGAGGTCACGGTTCGATTCCGGTCGGGACACATGCCTGGGTTGTAGCCTCGATGCCCAGTGGCGGGCGTGCAGGAGGCAGCCGATCCATGATTCTCTCTCAATCACTGATGTTTCTCTCTCCCTCTCCCTTCCTCTCGGAAATCAATTAAAAATTAAAAAAAGAAAAAAAAGAAAGAAAATCAAGTGAAAGAGGCAAGTGTGGCACTTGATTCCTATCGCCAGGTCTCCCAGCCTCCTGGGCGACAACCGGCCGGCAGCTGCTCTGCGCTCCCCCCTCCACTCACACGCAGGGGCTACGGCAGGGGCAGGGACCGCGCACACACACCCCCCCACCACCACCCCATGAAGGGACGCGCCCCACCTGGATGAGCGCGTAGTCCTGCTGGTTCAGCTTCCAGACCATCTCAAAGTGATCCACGTCCTGGAGGTCTTCGTAGGAGGCTCGCCACCCCGCTCGGCACAGGGTCTGGTGGGAGGAGGGAGCAGGGGAGCGTGTGGCGCGGGAGAGGAGAGGGGGGCTCTCACCCCGTGCCTGGCAGAGCAGGTGCTCACCACGCATCTGCCGAATCGGGCGAATTGGCGATGGATGGTCTGGGGCCATTGGGGTGAAATACAGGACAGGATAGGAGACTGCATGACCCTCGACCTCCAGCCCACGGCAGGCTGCTGGGGTACCTGGTAAAACTCCCTGGACTGCCTGTGGAACTCGGGGCTGTCGTGTTGGCCCACGATCACCAGCACGGGGCAGGCTGGACCCCTGGGCTTCGCGGAGGCCGCCTCCAGGTGCCACTGTGGGCTGTTCCTCCGAGCACCCTCCCTGGGGGGGGGGGGGGGGGGGGGGCGGAGGAGAGGAACCTCACACTCACCTCACACCCTCCCTGCCTCACCCTGCACCCCTCCTGGGCTCCAGCCAGCGGGGAGGGGGGACTCACGGGGTCAGGCGCAGAGGGGCGTTCACAGAGGTGTGCACGATGGGCTCCAGGTCGTAGACCCCACTCAGCAGGAAGCAGGCTGGGAGGAAGGAACCGCCAGAGGGCCTGTGGCAGCGGGGCCACCCACCCAGACCAGGTCTTGTGCAGGTGCTGCGTGGGCAAGACTGAGCCAGCCCAGGATGGGGGTTGGGGGGTGGTGGCGGGTGGAGATAGAGGGGGAGAGGGACCAGAATAGGGGACCAAGAAGCAGCAAGCAGGCCCCGCTCACAGACTCAAAGCCCCCAGGTCAACAGCCAGTGCAGACCCCCAGCTCAGGCCCCGTGGAGGAGGGGAGGGGAGGCTGCCGGCCGGGCTGCAGGCCCCACAGAAACCTTTGAGGTTGGGCGTGACTCCCCGCTCCGTCCAGTTCGCCAGGAGCATCATGGCGGCCAGCTGGGCCCCGGCCGAGTGTCCGCACAGGTAAATCCCCCTGGGAGGGCCAGAGCGGAAGCCGCGTCGCTGCTTGTCCTCTGCTCCACGGGCCAGAGGGCAGCTGGCTGGCACGAAGGGGCTGAATGGCTGAACCCAGTGCCCCTCCCCGCCCAGCCCCTCCAGCCCCCAGCATCATCAGCCAAAGGACACCTGCGGCGACACCCACTCATTGCACGGAAACCGCTTCTGCAGGAAGGCGATGCTCCGGGCCACCTGGTCCACCATCTGGTCCAGGGTCCCTGTGGGAGACGCGCAGGGCAGGTGCTGTGAGGGGCTTGCTCCCCGCAAAGCCCACCGGCCCCCACCCCTGCAGGGCCACCGCCTTACCTTTGGGGGCCAAGGTGTAACCCACTACCACCACCGCCGCTCCCCGCCCGGTCAGGGGGGCTGCCACGTAGGCCGACTCGTCTTTACTGCAGAGAGACCAAGAGTGACCCCGGGGAGCTCGGCCACCGCTGCCCCCGTCCCCTCTGAGCCGTGTGGCAGGAGGAGGCGGGCTCTGGGCCTCCGTTCCTACGGCGACGACGTAACGCGATTTTCACCGTAAGTCAGAACCCATCTACATGAGCACCTGCGTCACTCACGTGGAGCACATACACAGCAGTAATGAAGTGAAACAGGAAAAAAATGTAAAAGAAAGATAACAATTCCTGACCTTAACTTGTGGTAAATAAATAATAAAAAACATAAAGCACATATGCACATACGTCGAAATGACGGAATTTTTTTTTTTTTATAAATAAAGGGGAGGGGGGACAAAACCAAGAAATAATGTACGTTGAGACCGATGTAACCTGAGGACTGTCTGTAGTTACTGATGGCTAGTATGCCTCTATACAAAACTAGATCTTCAAATACCAATTTGTTGGCATGGAAAAGAGTTAGTGACTTATACATTCTTGCTTATTGCACTTTTTACAGTTACGGTTTTTCCTTCAGATAAATCTTAGCAAGATAATTCATAGGAGTATAACTTCAAAAATTGGGAGAAAGGACCTTAAACAATGAAGTAATTGTTAGTTTGAAAGTTAGCTATCTGCAATTTCAGAGTGTGAATTACTATTGTATTTTTTTAACCCTTATGTATTCCCTTGTTTTTTCCCTTGTGCCATATTCCCACCCCTCTTCTAACACACACTATTCCCAGTTCTCTGGATTTTGAGTAAAATATGTGTGTGTTATTTTATGTCTTCATTAACATCATTTCCTATCTGGCAGGCTAAAATGCTAACAGCAGCAGAAACAAGACAGGGACTTAATACTTGCAAGAAAAAAGAAAAATCTTTTCTAATGAAGGGGCTACATTTTTTGCCTTTCCCACTGTTACATGATGCCTATGGAATTGTTCAAATAGAAATTCCTAAATCTACTCATTTCTACTGTGGCGTTTATGTGCTGACCCTTCATATCAAGGCTGCTCTGACAAAGTTTTACATTTGCTTTTGTAAATTGCTTCATTAGAAATTATATATCCTAGTAGAGAAATGCTCTCAATATATGCATCCACCTAACTTTTCAGGTCTAAGATTACATATTTGGCTGATACTTGTTAATTTAAAACACCACTCAACTTTTCACACCTGGGGAATTTGGAAAGAATGGTGCATGAATCATCCAGAATCAACACCACAATTTGATTTCTCTTTGAAAAAGATTAATGAAAAATGCAAACTAAAAGTCACTTGTGATAACTTTAGCTAAAGAGAGTGATTTTTATAGAAATAACTTTTTAAAAACCTTAATTTTTCATGTGAAAGGATAACTTTCTCTTAAAATTTTTTTTTAAAAAGTGGGAAATAGCAATGCTTCAAGCAACCATTGCTCAGAGAGCCTGCAAGGATCTAACCACTAGAACCAAACCGGCTCCTGGATGTCCACGGGCCGCGTGGGGCACAGGCCACGCAGCAGGACATGCCGAGCAGAATGGATCTATCGGGAATTAAGCGCATTTTAATTGATTAGAACCAGGAGGCTTTGTTGAGTGAAGCAATCAGGCTGCACCGAGTCTAAGCTGAATCCTGAGAGTGTTAGCACACGCTGCACACTGTTCACATGCTGAGAGGATTTAATCTGTGAACGTTCTGCGCTGACTGAGCATCCGTTTCAAAGATCAGTGGATGCCGTTGTTTTTTCCTATGAAGAAATAACAGTGATACCATTAAAAAGCACACAAAAGGCTTGTGAGCGAAATGTCCCCCGCCTGCCGCCAGGGTGACCATGGCATGAACACAGATATAGGATCTCACTGCCCTTAATCCAAATGGCAGCGTATTAAGTATGTGCTGCCCTGCCTGTTTCACTTAAGATTCCTTGGAGAGCCTGCCCAGTCAGTACACAGAGAGCTTCCTCATTCTTTTCTTTAAAAAAAAAAAAAAGGCCCTGTGCATGAAATTCGTGCGGGGGCAGGGGGTTGTCCCTCAGCCTGGCCTGTACCCTCTCGCAATCTGGGACCCCTCGGGGGACATCCCTCTCACAATCTGGGACCACTGGCTCCTAACTGCTTGCCTGCCTGCCTACCTGATGCCCCTAGCCACTCTGCCTGCCTGCCTGATCACTCCTAACCACTCGCTTGCCTGCCTGATGCCCTTAACCACTCTGCCTACCTGCCTGATGCCCCTAACCACTCTGCCTGCCTGCCTGCCTGATCGCCCCTAACCGCCTCTACCTCAGCCCTCGCTGCCGTGGCTTTGTCCGGAAGGATGTCTGAAATGACGTTCAGAAGGTCATTAGGCTGTCTGGTCTAATTAGCATATTATGCTTTTATTATTATAGACTAGAGGCCCGGTGTACAAAATTGTGCACGGGTGGGGTCCCTCGGCCTGGCCTGCGATTGGGGCCAATCAGAGCCAGCCAGCGGAGGGGAGCGACCACAAGAGGTTGAACAGCTGCAGGAGGTTGGCTGCGGGAACGCACTGACCACCAAGGGGCAGCTCCTGTGTTGAGCGTCTGCCCCTTGGTGGTCAGTGCGCATCATAACTACTGGCTGGTCGTCTGGTCGTAACAGTTGCTTAGGCTTTTATATATATAGATTACATGTGTATGGCAGTCTCGGTAAAACAAGTTTAAGATAAATAGTTCTTAAAACCTCCCTCTGCTCTCTGCCCATGCTCACCCGGCCCCAGCGTGAGGGCAGCCAGCCTTTGATGGGGAATGAGGTGACCTACTCATTAGAAGAAGCCATCCCCCACTGCAAGTTAACAGGGCGACGCCGTCAGAGTGAATACAGATCAAAAATAAGAAAAAATGCATGAATTCTCCCAGCTGCAAAAGAGGAAAACAGAGTTCACCTCCCTCCCTGTCCTTAGAGCGTTACTTTAGGAACCTTGCAAGGAATTGTAAATCGTTTCTCTACCCCTTTGAGATGTATGTCAGTATTTTAAAAGCTAAACCAGTCTCCAGCCGGTTTGACAATCTGGGAAACTGTTTCTCAAAGACCTGGGAGGCGTCCCTTTGAAATATCATCATTGGGAAGGACAGGGCCCCAGCCTCTGGGTCGCCTGGAGGCAGGAGCCTACCTTCTGCGGGTGCCTGGCTCCAGGTTGCAAAACTACCTCTGGTCATAACGTCACTGGGTAAAGGCAACTGGCGACATGGTGCTTCCTCTAATTACAGGTGGGTTTTGGCGGGACCAGCGTGCCCTCCGGCTTGAGCACAGGTATGTATGCTCCGGGCGGGCGCAGCTGCCTGGCTGTATCAAAGGGTGATATTTCCTTTGGCTTTGCAATCCCTAGCGCTTGCCTGTGATGTGCCTCTGTACCCAGCAAAATGTGTTTTCCTTCTCTTTGTGGGAGGTTTTTCCGGTTCGGCAGGACATTTTCCCTTTCATTTTTTCCTGCTTTACATTCCTTTGCTACGTTTTGCTGTCTCCCGTCGGTTTGATTCCCACGAGGCAATCTCCAAGGTTACAGGCAGCACTGATGAGTGTGGGGCACGAAGGCCAGCTGGTGGGCACTCACGGTGCCCTCTGACTGTCATCACGACCGCCCCCCCCCCCCCCCCCCCCACCACCTGCTCCACTCTTACCCGGAAGCTGTGTTCAGGGGGTCAAACATCACCTGCTCTGAGCCTGGGGAACATTTTTAACCTCGTCATTCAGGGCCTGGGGCACAGCGTTGGGAGGTGGCACCAAAACACTCAGCAATGGCCCTGGCCCGTGTGGCTCAGTGGGTAGAGCGTCGGCCTGCGGACTGAAGGGTCCCGGGTTCGATTCCCGGTCAAGGGCACATGCCCGGGTTGCGGGCTCGA